TGGATGATGTACCACCGCCGAAGAAGCTATAGCTAGAAGGCATGGACGAAACGTCAAAACCCTCCGTGCACATGACGAAGCGATCAGTGATGGTGGTCCGCATGTTGTCGTCGCAATCTTCTGGGTCTGGTTGGTCCGCCGGTTTAGTTGGCGCAGGGCCAGGCTTCGGCCCACAACCGCCCGGAACGGTACAACCTGGGAGGCTACAAAGTTCTGGCGGGCATGGATCACACCCTGTTGGACCTGGACAGTATCCGTCGGCGCCTATGATACCCGTAGGCCGCGGGCCGGTATGACAACCGAAGAAGATGCACGGGTCACAGCCGAAGATACCACATGGAATGGTGAGCGAAATGGGCGGAACGACATCTTCAGGGCAGCCAGGCCCGAACCCTAGTCCCGCCCACCCGCATCCACACCCGAAAAGCTTACATTTAGGGTTCGTAGGTTTTGGAAACGATGTCGGCTTTGGCTTTGGCGGCTTGACTGATGGATCGTCATTGTCGCTATCGCTAGGACTGTCGCTGTCGTGATCCTTGTCACATTTGTGTGGGACACAAAGGCAGAAAGGCCGCTTGAAGAGCAAGAATGATGCGAGTCTCTGTGTGACGCATGCAGCGATACAGTTCTCCTCTTTGCACTCGGGGTCGCTGTCTGTAACAGAGTCTGGATCGCCTGGGTGACCATCCTTACCACCGTCGTCATCCGGGCCAAACCACCATAGATGACACCACTTGTAATTAGCTGGCTCAAGACATTCGTGCGGTGGTTCTTCATCGGGAGGGCGAGGGAACACATAGCCCACACAATACTTTAGGCACCACTCGAGGGAACGACACAATTCGGGACAGCCTACGCCTGTAGGCATCGGACTGGGAGGTATAGTGCTGCTCCCAATCACGATCGGAGCAGAAATGGAGCCACTTGCGGTGCTGCTTCCCGAGACACCAGGAGGGACGATGATGGAGCCGCTTGGGGTGCTGCTTCCACTCGGAGGGATAATGGTGATGCCATTCGAGGTGCTGCTTCCCGAGACCCCAGGAGGGACGATGATGGAGCCACTTGGGGTGCTGCTTCCCGAGACACCAGGAGGGATGATGATGGAGCCACTTGGGGTGCTGCTTCCCGAGACACCAGGAGGGACGATGATGGAGCCGCTTGGGGTGCTGCTTCCACTAGGAGGGATGATGGTGATGCCATTCGAGGTGCTGCTACCAGGAATTCCAGTGGGGATGACGATGGAGCCACTCGAGGTAGTGCTTCCCGTGAAACCAGGAGGGATGATGATGATGCCATTCGAGGTGCTGATACCAGGAATTCCAGTGGGGATGACGATGGAGCCACCCGAGGTAGTGCTTGCCGTGAAACCAGGAGGGATGATGATGATGCCAGTAGAGGTGCTGCTACCAGAAATCCCAGTAGGGATGATGATGATGCCTTCTACAGTAGTGCTGCCTTGGACTGAAGTCAATCGAGTGCTCGGGATTGCGCTTCCAGACGATTGTGCAGCCGAACTGCCTTGAGCACTTGACTGAGCCACAGAAGATGAGCCAGAAGGCGCGACGAGTGATTCAGACGCGGACACAGAGGTACTAGGTGATGCCGATGACCATGCAGTCGAAGTGCTACCGGCTTGGCTGCTCGATATACTCGTGGGCGCTACAGATCCCGCGGAAGAACTCCACGCTCCAGAAGATGGGGCGGCTGATGATCCAACGACTGAGCTTGTCGGGGCGCGGGAAGATGGTGCAGTAGAGCTTCCTTGAATTGAGGATGCAGTGGGGGGCGGCACAACGACACTTGAGCCAGCTTGAGAGGATATTTGACTGCTCCAAGCTGCGGTGGACGACGGGACAGAAGACGGCACGGAGGATGCCCACTGAGAAGACGAGGATGCAGCTTGAGAAGACGAAGACGCAGCTTGAGAGGACTGTTGACTGCTCCAAGCTGCGGAAGACGACGGGGCAGGAGGCGGCACCGAGGACGCCCATTGAGAAGACGAAGTTTGGCTGCTCCACACAGTAGAGGATGGCGGAACAGGTCCTTGCACTGATGATGGAGGCGCGGAGGCTTGCACCGAGGATGCCGACTGAGATGATGCAGCTTGAGACGAGGGCTGACTGCTCCATACCACTGAGGATGGAGTTGCGGAGCCCTGTACTGAAGACACGATCGATGGGGGTGGGACAGCGACTGCAGAGGACGGGCTCGCAGAGCCTTGCACCGAAGACACAATGGACGGTGGCGGGACAGCGACTACAGAGGATGCGGAAGGTCGAGGTGAGCCTTGTATCGAAGACACAATTGTAGGCGGTGGTATAGCGACCACGGAAGACGGAGGCGGGCGGGGAGAGCCTTGCACCGAAGACACGATGGATGGAGGCGGGACAGCAACCACGCTGGAGGCGACCGGGGGATAGTGGACGCTGGTCGGTGGAACGACGGTACCTTGTACAGATGTCGTGACCGAGATCGGGTCGGTAGGAATTCCGTATTGTCGGGGAATTAAGATGGACGAGGGATCCGCCGCACCCTGGATTTCAGCCTGTCCGCTGCCGACCGTAGAAGCGACCGTAGAGGATGGAGAGCTGCCGGCGTAGCCACCGGTAGCGGCCAGCCCTAGAAGAGTGAAGACGGAAAGGCGCATCGTCGGAAGCTGCAGTCGTCGTCCGCAATTGCTTCGATTTTGAAGAGGGCGAAAGAGGGTTGAGGAAGCGAGTGGAAGGCGCGGTGGAGGGGAAGCTGTACGAGGCCGGTGAGCGCGAGCTGATATACAACGGAAGAGCTAGGCACAAGCGCTAGTCGGGTGGTGAGGGTCTCGAGATTAGGGTCCGTGAGGAAGGCGCGACAGGGTGAGGGGCAAGTCCGCGTAGGCAACGGCGTGGCCAGCATGCTAAGTGAAAGAGTGTGCGGCCGCACACCGCTCGGCCTGGCAGAGGTGTCTAATGAATTGGAGCGCAAATATCTCTATCCTTGTCACCAAGAGAGACCGTGGCAAGAGCCTCGAGGTCATTCCTCTGAGCTTGTAGTCATTGAACCCAGTCCGTATCATCACTGCTCTTGCTCCTGGAAGTGACATCACGTTGTACTCTTAGCAGGATTGTCGTGTCCACTTCTCTTCCTGATCCTTGTACTTCCACATCAGTTGTACGTATATACCGGGTTTCAAACTCACGTAAGAGCTGTTGACGATCTAGCTGCAAGTAGACACCCATCGGTCTGGGTAGGCATGCTAGTGGGACTCGATTCACTCGGAGATTCGAGGTTAATACGCTGCGACTCACATTGATGATTCTAACAAGCATGAGACGCGTATTCCAAGCATTCTCGTTATCGAAACAGACCGGTCTGAATAGTTGCGACGCAACTGACTGCCACTCAATGGACTGACGTTGCAAGCGTATGCAACATCGTGAAAAGCGAGGACAGCGTCAGAGGGTAAGTTATTGGAGATGGTGAGATGAAATGTGAACGACTGTGACGAGATCATATCCAATGTCTACGTGGAAGCTGAACTCGAAAGGGACTGAAGTCTAGTTGCAGCACACGGGCGAACGTGGATGTTTTCCGAAGCAAACGGATGCGACGCTGCAACCAGTATAGGTCTGAAAAAGATGAGAAAATAGCTTGGGCGGTAGGCAGAGCGCTGATTGAGAGATGAGGATAAGTTGCGTTGATGACCGCACGTTTGCTGGTGACAACGGCAATGATGAGATGGATGAGGAGACGAGCCACGCGAAGAGCGTACCTAGAGACGCGACCGCGATGCCCCACTTTCCGTAACGCGCTAGACACGCGTCAGGCGCCCCGCCGTCCCCGGGGCCTGCGCTTCGTCGAGATGGCGGCTATCACGTCATCCATGATACAGCACGTCGAGATGCTACCACACTGTACATCTGCATTGAACTTATTACCTTGAATTCCTTCCGGCCAGACTCCACACTAGAAACGCGCGCCAGCACCTATCCCCGCCTGATGCTACGGCGCATGCGCTCCACGATCATCCGTCCTCCGCGTCCCTCACGTTCTACACGTCTCGTCGATTCGTTACCTATACAAGCCGTAATATTAGTCCGCGATACGCTCGACTCGGCATCATATCAGTCCACTATATAGCCCAGTCCGCAGGAATATCCCTGAGAGATGCAGTCATGGGAAAGACTAGGCTAGAGGCAGCAGTGTGCTTGAGAACGTCGCGCTACATCCTGTCTATCATAAAGCTTGTGGACCTGCATTGCTATTTTCATCCAGAAAGCAGTTGTGCATGAGCCCGGGTACACGCCCACGCCTGGGTCTTGCACCACCTGCAAAGCCTTTGCTCTAGCCCTATGAAGATGCGTTTGGGTAGCCGGACATGGAATAGCCACCGCGAACATTTGTTGGATCGACGACGTTGAAGACTCATGGGTTCCGATGAGCCTCTGAATAGAATACGACATACCTCATTTTTCTAGCTCAATCGTCGACAGAACCTTCTCCGTGGCATGAGTACCGAGGAGATGACTGGCTGACTGAGGTACGAAACAACCAGTGATTTGGGGTTCTGTAGTTCTCAGAAAGATTGTTTCGTATGGCTTTCGATATCATGGCTTTCCGGTATATGGCATTTTCATGTCCGAATGCTTCGCGGCTACATTCTCACATCCCGAGGTCACCTTGACCGCATTTAGCAAATTGAAACCAATGTCAACCATACATATAGCGTGTTATGTGGCCCTGGACCAGAGGCTGGGTAGCTTAGGAAAACGTCTTTACGCATCACACAACCCGTGGCCAAGCATGCTTCATCAGTGGTTGCACTTTCCTTTCCAAGACCTTCGTCATAGAAGACACGCGCGCAAATTGGGATGTGGAACAATCGCTCCTTCACCTACGAAGTCACTGTGGCAGCCTCCAATAGCCGCTAGTCTTGCGCCTTGCCTCTTGTATCACGCTGTTCGTCTTGCTGACGTTCCTTGTATCTGTTGCTTCGTTCAGTTTCCCTGGCAGCGATCAGCGACATGACCTTCGTCACCGCCCTTGTCGTCGCGGTTGCCATACACACAGTTGTCGGCAGTATCAAGACTCCGCTGGCCTCCGCACCCATCTCAGACCGTAACATCACCCGCATATCTTCAAATTCGACCAGCCGTGAACCCAACGGACTACACCCCACGGTGGCCTTCTGGGACGATGATTATGCCGCGGAGGAGGATTGGAACAAGAATGCAGCCAAAGGAGGCGCCCTGATCTGTGGTCTCGAAGGCTCTGATCAGACCGCAGGCCGTCAGATGAAAGATACTCGCGAACCCCCATCTGCTGCAAGGCCTTACAATAGTGACCTCAAGATAGAGCTTCAGGACTGGTACTGGCGAGAAACTAGCTCATCGTCGTTCAGCTGCAGCTTTTCTGAGCACTGGCATTTCTCACATGCGATGCGCTCACTTGGTCTCGACGGACGGCCGACTTCAGCAGGCGGAGATAACCAGTGCTATAGGGTCGAGCATTGGGACCCAGAGAAAAGAGATAATGAGGGCAACCAGATCCCGGCTATCAATCAGTGGTACAGCACAGCAGGTAACAACAAGCAATACAGAGTGAGTTTAGGCTTGCGTATGAGCAGTAGTTAGATGCTGACGGCGTTACAGGCAACAAAGGCGCATTTTGAATTCGGAATCAACACCAAAGGAGGCGCTATCTATGGTCTCTTCCTTGAAAGCCCTCAAGCATCCGCCAAGACTATCTGGGGCGGTGGTACGAAGGAGCCGAACAAAGACGACCTACCTCAACTTCGCGCTTTCTCAGACATCATCTGGGGATTTTGGGTTCGTAACAACCCCAATATCAAGAACATTCGCTACTTCTTCATGATAGCCATCTCCAACGAGGTGACTAATCAAATCATCGCTTCTTGTCTACGCGACCGTAACACCGAACTAAGCGAGTGGCCGGGAACCGACTTCTCTACCACTACGGATCAGGGCCATGCGCTACTAGGCAAGTCGCGTTCAACTCCGATGACATATAGTAAGACTAACCCAAACCAGGATCTCCAAACGGTGCTGGGTTCGCTTACTTTCTCATGCAGCACAAATTACAACTTGGCCAAAAGACCATCAGCAAGATCACTATCTTCAGGCCGGAAACAGACGACGACGTCAGCCTTGTCGACGCATCTCTGTGTTTCCACGTGGTCGATGGCCCGCAGCCACCACCTGACGATGCTCATGTGGAAGGGACTGATCGCCTGAAAGCTCGACTTGTGCAAGAGACAAATTCAAAAGATTCATCCCCCAACAGCCTGGTCAGGGTCCACGAGATCTATATGTAGCCAACGGTTAGTGGGCGTTTCAGACATGAGGATGGTGTAGGCAGACATGCAAACACGGACTTGATGTACAAATTCCGTGTACTGTCTCCAGGTTTCTACAGCTAGCCCGTTTTAGCACATGCGCGAGTATTGTATCTATTCATTTCGAATGCTCTCCTTGTTCTGTGTGGTAAACAGACATCCGTGGTGGACTCTCCGTTCATCTCACTCCGATTGCGTACATAAATGCAGGTAATTTCTCAGAATGGTTATTGCGCAGCGGGAATCTTACTTAGCGAATAGTGCAAGTAAAGATCTGTTTAAAATGAGACTGCAAGCATATGTTGGGAGCAAAAGGCGCATATTAGCCGTCTTCGTTGTGGACGGCTGGGGGTGTGATATCGTCTCATTGTCATCACCGAATTAGGGAAGGTGTACCGATGGTCTGTGCGATTGAGCTGGCCATTTCTCTTATTGGATCAGCATTGACGTTCAAACACTCAAGTATTGATCAAGACCACTAATTGCTTCGATGCGCGACCGAAATGGCCCTATTTTGCGCCCACGCATACAGTCGTGGGGGCATGCTGCCCCTAGACATCACGGGCCTGCGCCAATCCGTTCATGCCACACCCTCTTGCGACACGTTCTAAAGCTACAAATTACAACCATAAAGAAAGAATAGAGTGCGCCTTTGACTCAGACTGCGGTCTGGTTCTCAATCACAACCATTCATGGATCCCGCACACCAAAGTGCAGACGCAACAACTCGCGCGAAGCAAGACCGGGCATCATCCTGGGTCGAAGATAGGCGCGTACTGCGCTTCGTTGAAACCGACACCTTCAAAGCTTCTTACCGGATGCGCCCATGGCACAGTTCACAGCTCGCTGGGACTCTCGCGACCCGATGTTGTTGACTATGATTACTCGGCGTATGGTGGAGGTTGTGCATCAGTGCTATCACGCATAGCCAGACGAAGGTCAGTAGGACTGCTGAGGGACGGCGATGAGAGCAGAGGCGCATGAAGACGCGCATTAAATCTCTCGCAAACGGGTTCCAGGTGTGTAAGGTCTACCGTCGGCCGTGCTGTTTCCCCGTCTAGCGACCCGCTATCCCTCCTCGAAAAGAGGCGTCTCCAGAATCCCGGTCTCCGTTCTGTGAGCGCCTTCCATTCAATGTCCTCTGGATCCTGACATTTGCCAAAGTCGACGTATCTGGAGACACTTACGACATAGGTTGATTTCGGAAACCTCGACTCGTCTGCGCAATTCCCAATGAACAGCCTTCGCGGAGTTATTTCGATGACCACTTCGGTAGGGCAGGCGGTGCACCGCAAGGCTTTATCAACATATCCATATTTGAGCTCCTCAGGATCGTGGTACGTGTAGAAGCGAGAGACAGCGTTTCTTATACCACAACCCATGGAATATATATTGAGGACCGAGTTCAGGTGTGGACATAACGAGTATGGAATCCCAAATACTACAGCCTTGGGGTCTACATCCTCGACTTCCGGAATACCACTGACCCATCTCTTTCTCAAAAGCAAATGACCATCACAGGGTAATGCATAGATGTCACTGCCCCACCGTTTTGACCCCTGTTGATGAACGCCTTCAGGGCGCAGGAGATTGTGTCCATACCGAGGGGAGTGCCGGAACCCGCGCATCGTTTCGTGGACGGTTTCCCAGTCCAAACCGTCGAACTTTGTTGTGCGCCGTTTGCATATCGTCCTAGTCCCGTACTTGAAGGCGGCCGGAGCGTTTTGACCCCAAACATCCCGACTACCAGGTGATTTGCGCTTATGGTATGAGCCGCAATAATAACATATGATATGGTCCGGATAGTGCTTGTCGAAGCACAGAACCGAGAACCTCGCTCGCTCAGCCTCATTCCCTTCTTTCTTGATCAGGGCGAAAGGGTTCTTGATGGAGCGGACCAATGTATTCGAGTGGTGGCTCGTCACTGCGAACGTCGCCATAGATGATAAAGGTAGAAGTTCCAATATCTTCCTGGATAAATGCCGAGGCAGTCTGTATAAATGAGTCTGATGGCCAGATTCCCATGGTTTGGGAATATTCATGGGTGTTTCTGTGTGTTGAGTCATCTCGTAAGTCTGGTTTGGTGTTTGCTGGATGTTGTGGTCAGAGATGACTTCTACGCTGCAGACCTTGGGGGGTTTGGGATCTTAGGCGATTATATATGCTCTGAAATCACCGTTGTGCGTCATATTCGGCGCGTGCGCGGCTATCATTTTGGGAGGTAACCACAGGCAGAAGGTATGTTGACCATTACGTAGAGCTGATTGGGTTTATCAAATCGCAGATGCAATACTCGGTACCGCGGGGTGGCCAGAACCCGTGTCGCATGTTGCTGCATACACATCACTGAATCTTGATAAGCAAACACCTTCTGAGCTAATGTATACATCTACCCTATAGTAATTGTGCAGAATTCGATACGAATTGGCAGCTACCATTGGCGTCGCGAGGACCATAGCGACAAGCCACTCACAACTAATTCTACGAGGACCCCCGTGGAATATAATCTTCTGATAAGGATGGCGGCAATAAATGATAATTCTGAAGAACACTCAGGGTTTTACTGCAAATCGTTGGAATAGGTCGTAGTTCTCACAAGCGGCTTTTGTTCTGACCTCTCGTCTGAATGTTTCGTAATAGTCGCCATCGAGCGGAGGAAATAACGCTATCCAGGCGGCGCGCTGGGGAAAAATGTTGGAATGTCCTAGGATAAACCAATGCGGAGTATCTGGGCAGACGGTTCAGCTTCCGGGTTAGATCTTCCGTGAGGGGTGCGAAAGCAGTGCGGAACATGGATATTGTAGCTGCGTCTGGGTAGACCTCACTCGTGTCTTGCGTGCCGAAATGACGCACGACGGCTTGTAAGTACTGCACATAACTGGAGCAGGGTTTGTAGGTGTACACCTCGATAAGACCCGATGAGTTCACTCTGGCAGCAGATATGGAGGTCGGGTGCATCGTGATGCCAAAAGGGCCGTGTTGTGAAATAAGTTTGGTTGTGCATGCTTACACGCATGCGAAGAGAACAAAGGTCCGGATCTTCCCAAAGATCTTTGCGGGTTTTAGTAATCAACGGTTTCCTCAGGGTCTTCCCTAGTCACCTACGTAATTTCTGCTTACCTGGATAACCACACGCCGCAAGCGTTGGCGGAAGCGGCTACGCGACATGCTTCCCACTCCAAGATCAGAATAAATAACAGGCGCTACTCTACGATTTGGAAGAAAGGCATGAATATTACGGAAACGAGCTTTAGTATGACCGCAATGCATGCCCGGATGATGTAAACGTCACGTGACTTGTGCAACCTTCTCTATCGATGTAGAAGCAAGAGTGAAACGATGCATGGAAAGACCTCCGTATGTAGGTAGACAGATATTGAGACGTCTCAGAGGCCATTCTATTCTTGAGCATGCGTCCATGCACTGCGGAGAGCCTGACACAGGACCCGAGTAATCCGCCCACCTGCGCTATACCAAGGCTAGCCGGCATAGCCACCCAACGTCAACGTTCATTGGCCAAAACACATACTCGGGGGAGTAAACAAAAGATCTCGCTGTCTCACTACTGCTGCGTAGTACCGCTATCGTGCCGGAGCGACACATCGATTGGCTGACGATGCCAAAAAGCGCCTCGTGTGTACACGCGGCTCTGATGCACTTGCGGCTATGTGCTTTTCGCTGTTGCCTGAGAGATGATGAGACGCTATCCCAGTCGGTGATGTGACTTAAACAGGCCTGTAGACTTCAGTTTGTCTTTGTTGCACCAAGCCATCTGGCTCTTTTCGTCTTCACCTCAATTTTCAGATACCAACAGATTACCCAAACCAACAATATGATCATGGCGCAGGAACGTTCTCTTCGCGTACTGAATTTGTTTGCCAGTGCCCTCACAACACCTTTCCTCATTGCCATCACCGTTCTCTCGCTGGAATCCCATAGTTACCGGTATTGGTACGACCATCGCGATGTAACTACATTCTGCTTCGGCTATATCCCCCTCGCCATGACTGCGGTTGCTTCAACGGCGAGCATTGTCCACCAACGAAGGCACAATCGTATGCCAGGCCCCAAGTTCGCTCTCCTGGACGGATTGGCGGGTATCGCGTATCTTGCAATACTCATTCCGATCTGGGCGGTCGAGGTTGACGATCTGGGGTCAGCGGGATATGGCTTTTTGGCTGGATACGCAACAGCTCCCATGATTGTCAACATGTAAGCCATTCAAATTCAGAGCCAGTCATCAGTAGGGTTGCTAACATGATGACAGGTTTATCCACTTCTACTTCTTTGCTTGCAAGGCTCGCGCGATGTGGTTTGCGTTGCGTGCTCCGACGGTACATGAGTGCCCCAACTGCCACCACGACTTGACGGTAGGCACTCCACAGATCAAAGAGACGAACAAGGATGGAGCGCGGTACAGCTTGCTGCGCGGAGAAGACTATCTCGATGCCGACGCTGATGCCGAGCGCTACATCGATGAGAGCGCGAGGCCTTCCGAGGAGCAGCTCCGACCTGAGGGTGATGACAAGGAAGACAAGGGCAAGTCCAGCATCGATGTCTGAGATGTGAACTGGCATGATCAGCTTTCGTGTTCTCATGTCATCGAATGGGATAGGACGCCGGAGTGTGAACGGACAACTAAGGGGTTGGCGCTGTGATATCGGATATATTGCGAAACGACTCGCATGAGGGAACACGTTCTGCGATCAAAGTTGAACGAGATTGGTATTGCGGCGATGGTGCAAGAGAGACGTATCATATGTACGACACATCTTTTCTTAGGTTGGTGGGATATCTGGGATTCATTCGTGAAGGGTTTGCGCTGTCGTTATTCATTGGGCTTAACGTATCTACATGTTTTCGATCATACATTCCTATCATGTGTGGTTATATGCATCAATCGATTGCCTATTCAGACATATTGCGGCGGAAATCTCTCGCCTTGATCCCACTGCAGATTGCCACGTCAGTAATGATTCTATTGCAGTAGAAGAGATAAGACTTGCATGCTCCGCGATACACCCACCCTCCCATCGAAAACGGTCAACGACTTCCCCAAAACTTCCGGTGCGGTAGTTAAGCCAGCTTTGTGGGGACTTGAACGCTGTACGTAATGGTGTGATGCTCTGCGAGCCCCAGATTGGAGAGAGGATGTTCCAGGCGGAGTCAGACCCGTTCTGTGCAGCGGGGTTGTGGTTCTATACGTGGTTAGCCGTCATTGATCCTCTTGAAGCTGTCGTGACCCTCTTACAATGTAGTCTTTGGCTATGTATTTGAACGCCTCACTGATGTCCTTCTTGTAGATGAAAGCTTGGGCGAAGGCTTCGGCACGCGTAGCTGTCTGCGCTTCGGTTGTGTTCATCACACGCACGCATGGTGCCGGCTTTGTGGGACGCGCCTGGCGGGCTGCGAGTATATCTGACCTGCTATGTATCTCGGCTGGAGCCGCCAGGGCTATCAGAGGTGCAAGCATGGCACAAACTAGGGTTGTGAAGCGCATTTTGAGGATGATGTCAATATGGCGGCGCAGCGGCAGCGTGAAGATGTAAATGGCAACGAACGTACAGGCGCGAGCACACTTATACCGCGAGCACCATACTTGAGTATCACCGTTGCTCCTCGCACAGACGTGTGATCAACACCAGACTGACAATTTACGGCACAATCTCCCAAATTGATGCGCCGAGCTGCCCCACCGGCAATATTCCGGGGCATCTGCGAGGCGATGTCACCATTCGTGGTATAAAGAACGCTGTGGCCTTGGGATGTTATCGACGTCTCAGGTTACGGTCGGCAGTTGTCGTGGCAAGCATAATCGCTATCGTCGCAATGTGTAGGGCTGGACAAGGGGCTGGGGCTGGCTCAGATAGACAAGGACGCGAATTGGGCCGAAGCTTCCAGGGACGATGACGTTTGCGCACGTGTGGGGCCGACGCGTCCGGAATGCTGACTCATGCACGCGCGGAAGGACAGACATGCGCGCGCAAGCAAAGAGACCTCGGCAGCTTGACAAACATCACGCGATTTCTCTACCCTACCACGATATGCGCGTAAACTACCAGGACATGGCCCACCGCCCTCACAACGACTCAACCCAGGCCCGACCAGCCATCATCCTCATGCCCCGGCAGGCATCATATCCTCCGTTCTCCCCTGTACACGACCAAGCGAGCTCCTGAAGACTCACGCAGCAGTTCCTGCTCTAGCGTGCGAGGTACTCGTTATATGAAATCTCACCAGTCTAAACACCGAATCCAGGCATCGTAGCGCTCGCGCTCACCACCCTCGTCGCCTCTCCATCGTGACTAGTATCCTAGTCCTCGTCGTCGCTCTCGTCTCCATCGATTATCTCCCCGTCTTCACTCGCCCTCCGAGACATGGCGCGCAATTGGCCTGGGCCCTGCAGATTGTCGGGGTCGTAACCGCTATCGCGAAACATCTGCAGCTGGCCCTCCACGATCGCTACTTTCTTCCGCTGAATCTCCGCCGTGTCCTTGGAAAGATTCATACCCTCGCCGGAATAGTTCAGCCCACCTCCGCTTCGGGCAGCGAATCTCGCATGCGTCAGATCAGACGCAATCACAGTGTATTGGGATGGTTCAGCATATGATCCAGGGCTGTTTCGGAAGAGATCGCGAGCTCTGCTGTATACCCGAGGAAGTTGCACAACGATCACATTGACGTCTTCGTCGTCTGACGAGTGTGAGGAGTCGGAGGAAGCACTGTACTCTTTGTCTTCGTCGTGGAGCTCTTGCTGAACCTTCTGAAGCCTGGCCTGCTCGGCTTCCAAATTTGCCGGTCCACGTCCATGCGCTTTATTGGCCTCGCGATCGATCTTCTGGAATGCCACCTTCTTAGCCCAGGCCTTCTCCTTTTCCTCCTTCTTACGATCTTTGCGCTGGTAGGGCTCGGGTCGCTTCTGGATCGTACGGGACGTGGGGGTCGATTGCTTCGCAGCGTTGGACTTCGATACCAAGGGCGCCGTGGACACTACAGACCTGTAGCATCCTGTCGCTGGGCTCCAATGGTGATGGTATGTCGGACATATCGCTGCCGACTCGCTTTTGTTCGCACCTGATGCCCATTCTATTTCCAGCTTCGTGATCAACGCCTGCTTAGATTCATGGTACCAATGATCGAGCCCGGATATCTTCAGCAGTTTCAGGGTATCTTCGGCCTTCATGGCCAAAGCACCGACAAAGAAATTGAAAGCTCGCGTGTCATTCTCCGATAGAAGATTCATGAACGCCGGGCTCATGCGGAGGAATCCGAATTTCTCCATCGTACCATCGATGGTGGGAATCAGGCGCTGCTGGGGACGATGCAGCTCCTCATATACTCTATCGATGATCATATCGCACACCGCAAGTGCGCCCATCGTGTGGGCGAAAACGTATAGGTCTTCAAATTCCCGGATGGACCACTGGATCTCCGTAGTCCGGGTGTCCGGGTGACCCGCGTTGACCAATCCGACAACATCGTGCGTGGGCAGGGCCGCTCGGAAGTCGGGCGAGATGCACGCGACGAAGCGGGCGATAGTATCGGCATCTATGTCTTCTCCGTACTCGATCGTATCGACGGTCGGATCGTTTTTGATGGCGTCCTTTATAAAGGTGCAGTGCTCGATGGCTTGCTTTCGGCTCAGAATAGGTCGAGTGGGATGTCCGCGGCGCACGTCACCGGTCTTCCGCTTAAAGCTCAGAACATCTTCGGTTGCTCGACTGTTCTTGTAGCGTACGACCTCTGCAGCTTCGGCCTCTGGATCGCTCGTTACCTCGCTTGATTGCGCGGCGGCAGGGCTGTCAAGACGTATGATGTCAGTCCTATGGTCTGCAGTCATGTTTGACATAGAGTTACTTACCTCTTCCCTTTTTTCTCAAAGTCACAAATGAGGTCGCTTGGTCTCGATTCTGCCTTCACTTTCCTCGAGAGAAGGAACAACAGCTCCTCATCTTCTCCATGATGCAGTCCCACACGATAGTCTTCTGGCTTGGGCATCGCAACCTTCGTAACACCTCGTGCGGCCTCCTCTTGCGGCTGCGGTGTGGTGTATCGCTGAATACTGGGCACTGGTTCGTCGGCCATGTGTTCACTGCTCTCAAGCACGTTGGTATGGCTAGCAATCGTCAGCGGCTCTCCCTCTTCTATACCAGGTGATGGTATGCGCTCCGTCCGATCTGAGACTGTCTTGGGTGAAACCGTCTTGTGTGGAACTGTCTTTTCTGGGATTGTCTTTCTGGACTGCTCGACGACGCCAATTCTTTTCTTGTAAGCCTTCCGCGCCGATGGAGATACCCACACGAGACCTTTCTCCTCGAGGAACTTCCTCCCGTGGCTGCTGTAGTGCTTCCACATCCCTGATTCAGTAACCTCAGTCTTCTGCTTTTTCGGATCTGCGCGTCCTTCTGCATATCCTTCTTCTACCCATTTGGTGCCGCACTGTTTCATCGAGATGCCTTCGACGTCGTACCATTGCACCAGTTGTATATACTTGGTGTCAACTACCTGAGAAGTCCAGTCTTTGATAGCTGCTACGCCCTCTATGAAGGCTTTGATCTCTTCATCGCTAGGTATATCCTTCGCAGCAACTCTAGCGTGCGCATTCGGTGAGTTAGACTTCGTCTTGCGCTTTTTCTTGGGCGGAGAGTTCGCGTCCTCGTTGTCATTATGCTCGCCGGGCTCATCCGTGTTGGAAGCGGTATTTGTAGGGAGCACTTGGGCGTCCGCGGCGACGTAGGGCTCATTCAACCGACGCTTCCGTGCTGTGATTGACATCCGCGCTGAGGCGTCAACCCCTTTTGTAGGGTTATCTGTGGATGACATGATCACGGTTGCAGAATCTTTCGGCTGGTTTAATGTAGCGGCTTTCTTTCGTGTGTCTTCTGCGATGCTTGGATGTTGTGGTGCTTCGTCACCTACACCGGAGTGTCGGTAGAGAATAGTAGGTTGAGGCAGGAGTATAAGTAGATTGGGCAAAAGCGCAGCGGGAGGATTAGGCTCGCGGACTATGTAACAGGCACGAGCGGAGTCCACCCGGTGAAAACCATTTTCAGTCAGTCTCGTGAGTGCATGGGCTCATATCAAGAGGCGTCAGCCAACAACGGCGTGTGCGATCTGATTGTGATCGGAAAAAAAAGGAAGTGAAAGTAGGAGGCTTCAACTGGCTACGTGACAACAAGGTGATAAGGGAATTTGGCCTAAGACGGTCCCTCGCCCTTCTGCCTCATCCGCTCACCGCGGCGCCAATATGCTCTGGTCCGAACTTCCACGCCAAGAATCCCGGCAGGCTGACCTTCATTGCTTGTCGCTCGAGGCTTGCCAACTTTTGCTCAACTAAATCCGCCATTTCTGTCTCTCCCCTTTCATTCGCCCTCAGCCACTCGCCGTGCTTGGCCTTGATCGCGACCCGAAGTTGCTCAGGTATAACCGGTGGTGGAGTTGAATTGGGTGAATGACCGGGTTGTACTTGATTGGGATTGCGAAGGGGGCGGGAGCTGGAACTGGATGCGCGAGTTGCTGAAGATATTCGAGAGGCGTTGCGGCTTTGGGCGGTATTGACTACACGGTGAAAGATCAGTAAGTTGTTTCTCTTAGTCAAGTTGCCGATGACCGTATAGAAGACGCACCCGGTTGCTTCGCGGCCTTACCCTGAGACCTCCGTCTTGCTGCTTCCTGTCGCTTTTCTTTCTGTCCTCGCGGCTGTCCTCGTACGTGTACAACTCCATTCACCACATCCAGCTCCCGTGGATGCACAAACTTGAAGTCTTCACCGCTCAGTCCTTCTTTCTTGAACTCTTCCTTCTCAATCTTCGTGTAGAGCTCCCATGGTCTGACAGCGCCTTGCTCTTGATACCACACTGGGCCCCACCTCCTCACCTGATACGATATACCGTATTTGGTGCTGACGCTGCCATAGCCAGCGCCGTTGTACATGCTCACAACGTCTTTGTGTGTATAGCCATCAAATATGCACCATTCGATGACTGCGAGGGCGCCGACCGGGACGGCGGAGCTGTTGGTCGTACTAAGAGGAGTAACGGGCGCATGCGCAAGCAAGGGCTGTGTAGACGACATGCTGGTGGTTGGTTGGATGTCTAGTCATCTGGCAGTCGCGACCGAAGGGGAATATGTGGCAGGTGGCCAATCATGAGATAAAGGATTGCTCCAGATAAGGTAATTGCGTCATATGCTCAGCTTTCACTTCACTTGCCATCTTTCTTGCAACAGATTGGAAGCAAACTCCGCAGAGACTGGAAACGCAACGCGTGAATTGATTTCGCGATTAGCCCATAAGAGACACCAAGCCTCCCAAGGCCTCTGACCTGTCACATGAAAGGGTCGAGCTTCAAATTTGCGCTCCTTCTTCAAGCCAGCAGCAAGCTGCAAAACTCAACGAAAAAGAACACTTCCCAGACTTGCCAATGCCAGCTCAGACTAATCTCCTCACTACCAGCATCCAAGCCTATCTTCTGTATGCGCGCCGACCAGGTAATGAATTCATCAACACCCCCGGCAAGTGCTGATATAGGCTCCTCAGGACCAAATGTACTGAGCTTGCTAGAGTGCGGAACACTGAAGTGTAAAGCCGCCTCGCGCTCAGGGTAATGTCTGGAAAAAATGACAGTGCTGAACATATCAGGAAACCAGCAACGGATACCACAAGGATTAGCCCGAAGGCCATAGAAGGTTCGTTCAGTCGAATGACGCATGAAAGCGGTGTGTAAAGAGGCCTTGTTGTAGTTGAGTTGAGTGAGCTGCGAAATCTCGGTGTTGAGAAAGGGAGAGAAGGAGGGGAGGGCGGATTTATATAGAGCCAGCGCAACGCTAGCTGGCGGTCAGTCCGTGCGTAGTTACCCAGCCCTGCCCTTCACTGAGAGTGACTGAAGTCTTAGTGACTTGACTAGAGTAGAAGCCTGTTTGAGGTCGAGAGATAGAGAATTTCTGAGTCACTTGACAAAATAGGCAATTCACCGTGGAATGGCGCGGCCGATCGCGTCTCTTCTCCCACTTGCGCTGTCAACGTTGCAGCTTCTTACTTTCACTTTCACCAAAGACGCAATTATGCACGCTCACTACGAGTTTCTGGCTTGCAAGTCGGCCTTGGCGGTCGACTTCTTGAAGCTGGAGCTGATCGATTCAATTCACACCCCAATCTCTACCTCTTTACTACTATACCACAGTATCGATTGCAGCATACAATCACTCAGCATGGCAACCACTACACAACCTGATATGAGCGAGGCGGAGAAGTACTTCTGGGAGTCGCTCCCTCCGGAGTTGCGACGCATGGTTTGCGACTACGTAAGTAATACATGTCTCCCATCGCCGTGCCTCAATACACCTGGACGACTACATCGATCTTGCCGGCGATCTTGTGAGCAGGTCATAATCCTTGAAGTGTATCAGGATACGGCATTGCTACTCTTTCTGTGTAATGATGTGCTAACGTATGCTGCTATAGTTGCCCCAATACGCCATCTCCCGTCGGCTTCGCGTGGCCCTCCGCAATAGATGGGATGACGAGGTTGCCCTTTTTGAGGGATATCTCTATAAAAAGCCATACTTACGCATCGATTCTGCCACAGCGTATCGTTTCGAAGGCTTGTCAGCTGGAAGCCTCGCGAAGTTCCAGGATCTACTTGTGCACGTTACGCCTGAAGCAGGCCGAAGGTCGTTGAGAATAATGAAGAACCTCAACACTCTACTGGATACTCCTGGGACGAAACCGGAGCTTCGCACACTCGCTTTCACCAATGAGAGCCGTGTCACTGCGCAGACTGAAGCCCTCTGTCTAAGGCTTCTGCAGCGGTATCTTCCTAATCTCGATACCATATGTATACCAACATGGTACGATGGTGAGAAGTCGCGTGGGAATCTCTTTTGGGGATCATTGCCCCATCTTCTCCAGAAATGGGATTTCTTTCATCCCAAAAACGATGAGGAGTTGGAGGACATTGAACTCCACAATGAGGCAGCCGCAGGCGACTCCAAGGACTCGAGTGAGTTTAATCCATTGGTCCGAATACCAAAGCTTATCGAGACAACCGGAAGTCCGATAATGCTGTTCAGGATGCGAAAAGAAAATGGCAAAGAGGTGGAAATCCTGGTCAACCGCGACGCCCCTGCTCATTATTGCAGGAGGTTGTTGAAAGAATGCAAAGGCAACAAGATTCTTTCGATTGTCATCGATAATGGCCGCGATGGAGACCCAGTGCCGTTGATCCACATCATCAGGGGTATTGGCTGGCGAACCAGACTGAAATGTCTCGAGGAGCTCAGCGGCACACATGTCGATCTTGCGCAAATCGACGTCAAGAAACACTTCCTCGCCAAAGCTATGACGTCACTCCAGATCCGCGACTGCGCAGGGGTCAGCAGCTTCTTGAATCAATGCCATAGCGCATTAGTCGACCTTACATCTCTCATCTTTAAAGAGTCGGGACGCGAGATCGAGCAGGAGGAAGAGACGGCACTGTGTACCATCATAGAGTCTTGCAACAATTTGCAGACCCTGTGCCTGATCTACGACAAGGCCAGACCGATCATCGAGGGCACCACCACACCAAGCTTCTGGGAAAGCAGCATTAGCAAGATCGACCAACCCGAGTACTGCCACTTTCCCCTGGCCTCCATCCTCCCCAGTATTGGTCATTCATTGACATCTCTACATCTCGGAGCAGACCCAAGCCTTCGACTTCACACAAAGGATCTCGCTTTCATCGCTACCCAATGTACCAACCTCGCCAGCCTTGGTATCCCATTCCCCGCCTTGACCGAGGACATTACTCCTGACCAGTTCCGTCAAGAGATATCGGATCTTGGTGTTCTACGAGACCTACTACTCCTCCAGTATCTCCACCTATCATGTCCGCTGGCCGAGCCCGATGAAGACGACGAGCTCCCACCAGTCGAAGACATAGCACGCTGCGCTCTGGAGATGTTACTGAACGAGTGGATATTGACTCACGTCAAATACTTCACCGTGGCCTTTCGCACAGCGACGTTTACCTGCGACACCTGCCATTTCAGGGTACTCTCATACACCAACACGCTCGAACGCATCTCTGAGAAAAAGTTAGGAAGGAACATGGAAGCATTTGGTCACTTTGTACGAGGCGACTGGGACGAGATGGTGAGAAAGAAGACGGGACTTGAGCTGCCGCCAGCTGATGAGAACGACTCAAAGGATGGAGGTACGGAGGGATATATGGTGGACAGTGCACCGTACAGGCATTTTGACCCTTGGTCTACAGCTTCGCGCTGAGAGTGTTTGAGCCCTTCAAAGCGTCGTCGATGGCACACATGGCCTGCACCAGCTTCTCTTCTTGTAATCTGGGCGCGACGACTTGCACACACAGCGGCGTACCGAGATAGATCGAACGGTCAACGTTGGTCCCTGGAGTTCGTGTTAGTATATGAGCGCTTCGGTGCCTCCAGCGAGTCGAGGAAAATAGTAATACTTACAAAGCTCACTATTTGCTTTGTCCCAACTTCCCAATGGCTCCGTGCTCGCCATCTCGCCCTTCATATCCGCCTCTTCAAACGACCTTACTGGTACAGTACCGGCCGGGTAATCTAACAGTACAAACGAACTCGTGTAGCTGACGCCGTTGTACCGGTCAATGGGCGGCACGGGATGTGGCGCGACCGGACAGACGAAGGCATCGATCTCGCCATGCGCGTCTTTCCAGATGCTCAAGAACTCCTTTCGCAGCTTCTCGCGCTTGCCATGGAACTGCTGGACTTTGGGAAGGTCCATTGGCTTCTTGCGCTTGAGTCGAGTGGACAGCCATGGCGAGAGTGGCTCGTTGAACGATTCCAGCAAGTCAAACATGGCGTTGCCACCTTCAACACCAAAAAGCGCATTGGCGAGGGATTGGCACTGAGAGAAAAGAGGGGTGATGTCCATCTCAACTGCCTCGATACCAGACTTTTGCAGTTTAGCTTTGACTTCATCTAAGACGCTGGAGATTGGTGGATGTGGTTCAATGACTCCATCTCGCCGGACGATGCCGATCCGTAGCTTCTTTCGCGTAGTTGACAGAGAATTCCATGGCGATGGTATGACATCTGGATCCATATTCCACGGCTGCTGGGATGCGACTGCGCTGAAGAAGAGTTCGATGTCGCGCATGGTGTGTGCGAGCGGCCCTGCACTCGCCGGGATACCAACTTTTGTTGCTCCGGGAAGCATGCCGCCCTCTTGACCCGCATAGGGAATACGTTCCCAGCTGGGCTTAATACCGAACATACCATCGCACATGGCCGGGATCCTGATGCTGCCGCCCACATCTGTGCCTACACCCAAGATTGAGCCGCGCATCGCGATGAGAGCGCCCTCTCCACCTGAGCTTCCACCAGCGGTCACAGCAGTGTTGAGCGGATTAATAGTTCGCCCGAAGACGTTGTTGTGGGAGTCGAGTGCCATGAGCGTTTGAGGTACGTTGGTCTTGCAATAGAGAACTGCACCGGCGTTGAGTAAGCAATCGACTAGGATCGAGTTCTCTTGTGCCGGTTTGAAGCAGAGAGCTGCAAGGCCGATCGATGCATCATGACCTCGGACCCTGAAGGTGTCTTTCAGTGAGATGGGAACGCCGTGGAGTGGCCCAAGGGGTGCTTTTCCTGATGCCAGATGGGCGTCAAGCTCCTGGGCTCTCTTCAGCGCGTCATCAAAGAAGATTTCTGTGAGGCAATTGGTGACTTGGTGGGCAATTGCTGCTCTCTGCCATACTGTTAGTTCATCAGCCGCTACCAAGAGGTCTGCTCCAATTTGGGACGGCTTACTTTACAGAAAGCCCGTGTCACATCGACGCATTTGAGTTTCTTCCCTCTGATTGCTTCGGCCAGTGCCACAGCATCATATCGTCCGGTGATCTCCAGCTCCTCTTCTGTGAATAGCCCTGACTTGCGTGTTATATCGATGTAGCTCTTTACGTCGGCTCCTGGTAAGACATTCAACTTCCATTCTTTTGGTATGCGCTCGTTCTGTTCTGCTTTCTTCCGCCTCGATACGGACCGCCAATCTTTGTCTGAAGATGAGCCTCCTTGCGACATTGTGATGTATGCGACAGTTGAGGAGTGACGCTGTGATATCGCGGACTTAGAAGACGCCCGAGTAGGAGCCGAGGTATACTAGATTGGGACTAGCTTGAGGGGTAGGGGCCTGGGGACGTCGACACCTCCAGGGCTGCCCAGGTGGTCAACTCGCTTTCGCAGCGCCGTGGATGCGCGAGCAGATAAAGCTAGGCTAAAGCAACGCCTGTCGCTGTACGTTCTACCGAACCTCCTACTCATTACTCGCCTTACGCACCTTGGGGCATACGTGCGCTTAGACATGTCCATCTTTGCTGCTCTTTCGCGCCACTTCCGGCTTCAGCACGACTTATCGCAACGGACAGCCTCTGTGTTGAAAAGTCTTGTTATTCAGAGACGAGAGCTCGAGCGCACAAGGTGCAGGCTGGAGTGCCTATCCGAGACGGCAGGACGCCTCTTTGCGCTAGGGAAATGAGCGTACCGTACCTGGCGTACCGGGAGAATGCGATAAGGGCTCCGTCTCGAAGAGCCACGAACAGCCTCAAACAACGACTACGAAGGCATCGGTACAGCCGACGGAGCACTTCAGAATGGTCACATGTCTACGTGTTCGGCCTGACTCTAGTTGCTGACATCTGACACGACGGGGAGTCGCGGTCGCGCTTCTTATCCCTGCCGCTGACAGCCAGGGCGCGCCGCAAGCGCTGTCCCAATTGGATGGCGTCTCCTGCCCCGGAATATTTTCCCACTCGGCCTGCCATCTGGCACCACGACGCACGCCGTGCCCCCATTGCTAGTAGCCCGCCCATAGACACCGCACTCGCTCTTGTACTCCTTTCCCTTCTCTACCTCTGCACCACTTGCATTACATTTTTTTGTCTAATTCGATATTCGCATCCTTCGCTATGGCAGCCGGCAACTTCTCGCTGCCCCCGGGCCAGCACCCTTACTACCCCATTGAGAAGGAGATTGTGGGCTATCTGGCCAACGAGCTGGGCACGCTGGACCTGCTGCTCATGTTCGCTGCCGGCTGCGTCGCCATCTTCAGTGTCACGTACGTGATGGTCAAGCGCCTGCGCCCCAATGCCAGCACCGGCGACCTCTCCACCATCATGTGGTTTGTGCTGTGCGGCTGCATCCACTCGTTCTTCGAGGGCTACTTCGCCTACAACTTTAGGAATATGGGCGGACTGAACGACCTCTTTGGCCAGCTGTGGAAGGAGTACGCGCTCAGCGACTCGCGTTACCTGACCCAGGACGCCTTCGTTTTGTGCATGGAGACCGTCACCGCTGTACGTATACGTCTTGTTTGGGCTTCTCTCGAAGAAGGACAGCAACTAATCAACATTCTCACAGGTATTCTGGGGCCCCGGTTCCTTCCTCTGCGCCTACCTCATCGCCATCGACCACCCGCTCCGCTACTCGGCCCAACTCATCGTCTCGCTCGGCCAGTTCTACGGCGACGTACTGTACTATGCTACCTCGCTTTTCGACCACTACATCCTCAACCTGTCGTACTCGCGTCCTGAGCAGTTCTACTACTGGGGATACTTTGTCCTGATGAACGCTTTCTGGATCGTGATCCCAGGATACCTCATGTACCAGAGTGTCATGGCCACTTGGAGCGCGTTTGCGGCTGTCAACGACGCGGCGAAGCTCGTTGAGAAGATCGGCAAGAAGCGCAACTAGAAGGATGTTCCATGCATCAGACGCATACAAGCAGTGCCTCTGAGGAGGACACCAATACCGCTGGAATGGAGGAGTGACTTGGCCAAGGACATCATTTTTACGGTTTGATTGTTGGGATGGGTTGAAAAAGCATTTTGGATACAGACACGGTACTTGATACCCTAGTTTTGAAGGCGTGGCTTGGACAGGACGCCCTAGATCGATAGACTCGGATAATGCTAATAGAAGATTATGGCAAGTAGATGCAGCTTCAGAACTCCTTTACAACGTATGTTCCCGGAAACTTAGCAAGTAACGCCGGGATTGCCGATCACCCATGTTAGTGTAAACCCTATTGTCGGCATTTTTCGCGTCGTAAGCTCGATCCTTGCCGCCCATCACAAACAGGCCGAGCAGTACATAAGCACTTGGAGAAGTTCCCGGCATCTTTACGTGGGCTAGAACTCTTGACACAAACAACCATGTATCTGTCGACTACTTCCCTCGCACACTGGTGTCTTTTTGCCCTATCGGCGACAGCTCTTCCCAACGCCGTAAATCATGCGTCTCCTCCCATCTCCATTCAGATGGCCCAGTCGATCATCTCCCGGAGCCAGGGTATCCTGATCAGCCAGACCGACTCCTCTGCCCTGTTGCAGGCTGGATTTACGCAGAAGACGTTCCACGAGATCCTCTCCATTTATGCAAATAGTTCCTTGGCCCCAGCACTCAACGCCTATATTACTAAGAGCGCCGACTCTGTGGTTCCTGTCGTCTCTAACGCAACGCGCGACACGAAATACCCGTTGGACCGTCTGAGCAGCGGAAACGGTCTACTGCGATTATGGCAGGAAACCGGGGATGAAAAGTACAAAACAGCATTCGAAGCATTGAGAAAGAGTGTGGATTTGCAGCCTAGAAATGACCAAGGCGGGTTATGGTATTATGTCTACCCGTACTGGAGTTACCTGGATGGCATGTTTAGTTTGACTCCGTTCCTCGCCGCATACACAAACGGTGTTGGTAGCTCTTCCATAACTGAAGATACGTTAGAAGACATGGTCTTCCAGCTCGATCTGCTATGGCAGCGCTGCTACTCGCAAGAAACCGGTCTCCTAGTACACGGTTACGATGCCAGTCTCACAGCAGTCTGGGCCAACAGCGCTACAGGCGCCAGCCCGCACGTGTGGGGACGCAGTCTGGGATGGTACTGTATGGCACTCATCGATACGCTCGAATTGCTCCCCGCGAATGCAAGCCACGCACGCCAGTACATCGGATCTCGGTTCCAACAACTCATGCCCGCTATCGTGGCAGCCGCAGACGGAAAGACTGGGGCGTGGTGGAATGTAATGGACCGACCTGGCGAAGCAGGCAACTACTTGGAGAGTAGTGCGAGCAGTATGTTTGTGTACTCTTTGCTCAAAGGTGTAAGATTGGGGGCTCTATCCACGGATGCAGCATGGAATGGCACCGCTCCATACAGCGGCGGCCAAAGTGCGTATGTGGATGTGGCGAAGAAAGCGTACAAGTATGTCGCCGATACATTCATCGTCCATAATGAGAACGGGACGCTAGGCTGGAACGGCACGGTTGGGGTATGCAGTCTGAACTCGACGGCTAGCTATGAGGTGAGTGGTGGTATAAGTATTAGTGAGTGCCAGTGCTAACGATATGTGACAGTACTATGTGGGACAACCGATTGTCTACAACAGTCCTCTGGGGTCATTGGCCTTTGTGAGGGCAAGTTTGGAAGTCGAAAGATTGGCCCTACAAGGTTGAGAGGTCCACGGGTGGTATGGTAGACACGTTGTCTTGGCGTTTACCAAGGCGGCCGTCTGCGGTCAGAACAAGCAGACACAGGAGGCTAGAATAAACCATGAGATAATCCCACATTAAAATCTCCGCAACAAGCGCACTGAGTGGTACGATAGCCTCCAAGCACTCGGCAGCGGGCAAATACAAAACCTGTTGTCCGTTTTCCATGCATCGTACCATCAAGGATGTCTGTTGAATAAGATGGCGGGGTTAGATCACAGGCCGCGGAGCATATCATCGCACTTTGTTGCGCGCATCTTCGATGTAGTCGTAATGCCAGTAATGCCAGCAAAGCTGCAGCATGGGTTTGTTGATCGAATCGTGGGTCGACGTGGTGCACTGGTCCGTAGGCGAGCCTGTCTCTCATGGATGTTCCCGCGGGATAGCCCAACGTGACTGGGCTGCGAGATAGCAACCTGGGAATGTCTCAGCCGCCGTGTAAACAAGAGGCTGGCAGGACTCGGACTCGAGCGTGGCTAGATGCCGACGCTGCATGGCAAGTTTATGCTGATCCCGCACAAGCTCATGGGCTTATCGTATTGCTTGTCGGCGACACTGGAACGTGCGGGCAGACTTGGCCAGTCCGGTTTTACTGGCGGGCCGCAGCCATTATTGGGTCATCAAACATCACACCGTCCCTCTAGCAGTTCGCTCGCCCTGCGCTACATTCAACGTTCCCCTCTTATGGGGTGACAGCTTTCACCACACTCACCTATACGCTCGCTGTCGAAATTGTTAATCGCGCAGCCGCCCGCACAGAGGCAGCGCCGGCGTAGCTCTGGAAACGGCCCGTCAGCCACGCCCACGCAAAACACCACAACACTCGCACCCGCCCGTCGCAAGCCGCCCCGTCCCCGCGACGTCTGCCCGCAGCTCCAATGACACTGGGACTCGATGCCCGCTTCCCCCCGGCCCAGTGACCCCGACAACACGGCTGGACAGCAGAGAAATGGCACGCCGGGCAAGAAGATGGGCGCGACGGACAAACAAGCAGCCATGGACGGCAAGGACTTTGCCAAGGCCATTGGCATCAACAAGCCCGCCAACGTGCGCGACAAGATAAAGCGCTGGCAGCAGGAGGTCGACCCCGACGCCGCGAGCAAGGAAGGCGCCGGCGCATCCGCCTCAGAGACGTCCACCAAGCCCGCCGCCTCGCCCAAGCCCGCGACCACGCCCAAGTCGAAACCCCACGACGACAAGCCCAACTGGAAACCTACACATGAGCGCGGAAAGTCGGTCGGCGCCAGCCCAGAGCGCCCGGGCAGCGCGAAGAAGACGCCTGTCCCCCACAATGAACTCGACGAGGACCTGCTCACGGCAACAGCGCCTAAGAAGCGCGTCATCAGCGACTCGCACTGGCGCGCCAAAATGTCACCACCCAAAGAAGCCGCCGGCCGCCCACAGCCAAAGACAATCCCCAACGCCTGGGTGCGCCCCTCGAGGATCATCCCCAAGAAGCCCGCAAGCCCTGAGCTCAAGCCCATAGCCCCCGTCACGCCCCAGTCAAACCCCCTCCTGCCCCTCGCGGAGTACATAGGCAAGAGCACAGGACAGAAGAAAGCCCCGCCGAAGCCACGCAGACCATCGAAACCGTCGAGCTCAGAGAACGAACAACGCCCGGCCAGCAGTGGGGCTGGAAGTGGAAAGACCGCCAAGAGCGATGAGACACCGTCCGACCCTACTTCGCCCCAGCCCGAGAAAGAAAAGACGGAGATGGTGAGGATGCGGCGTAGCAGACGGCGCGCGCGCACATCGCCCCGTGCATCCATGTCGGCAGAGGATCTTATGCCCTTCACGCCGTGGACTCGGCCCCCAGGACGCCGGTCGGGCTCAGTACAGAGCGACGACCCCCACAATATGGTCACGGTCGAGTACGCAGAGAGCTCTGCCCCATCGCTCAACGAGAGCCGCATCACGTCACCCCGGGACGACGAGCTGCGAGAGAGACGGCGCCGGCGTCGACCGAGAAGCAACGGTGCTCGCACAGAGGACGAGAGCACCAAGCCCGCGCCAAAGCCTTCGCGGAAGAAGAGTCGCAGGTCCTACCCAAGGACCCAGGAAGAAGCTGCAACACCCTTGATCATCCCAGCAGCCCCAGAGACGACCACTCCCACCAAGGCCACGGGAAGCCGCTTAGAAGCCTGGCTCAGCAGCACACCCGACCCTCTGGCAGAGTCGAAACCCCGACGCAGGCGCAAGTCCAAGGACTCTGTGTCGAGCCCAGAGTCCGCCTCCAAGGCCGGCAAATCGGACATCACAGTATCCACCGATGCCACACAAGAGATCCCAGTCAAGAAGACGCGCTCGCGCCGCAGGCGGAAGTCCAAAGAATCCGTATCCTCCCTGGACCTGCCCGCTACCGTTGATGCATCCGAAGTCACTGCCTCAGAGGTCACTACCTCCACCAGGACAACACAAGATGAGCCACGCAAGAGGTCACCCAGGAGGAGAAAATCGAAAGATTCGGTCTCGTCTGTCGATTTGCCCTACAAGGCCGAAAAATCAGACGTCAGCGCGTCCACTGATGCGACAAAAGACGAGCCTGTCGAAAGCCGCCGTAGCAGTGGTAGCGGCAGCAGACGGCGCAGAAGACGGTCGAGCCGCGAGATGACCATCAATACCCAGGATATCGACGAGACCCCATCTACTGTCGTCTCGGATACTACGACAGAGACGACAACTCAAGACCAGGAAAGTGAAGTGTCCGTCACTCCGACGCCCTCGCTGAAGCGCCGCGGTGCAAAGCGCGGCCAGTATTCTCCTACCAAAGGCCGATCTATGTCCTCTCCTCTCCGCGAGACCACGTCGATAGACGACATACCCAAGGATGATATCACCGACTTGGATACTGCTTCGTCCGCCCCTTCTTCCTTTGCTGATGCGCCTGTACTTGACGCCATGCCTAAGCCTCTGCGACCGCGACAACTTCTAGGACCGCGTATGTTCCCTTCGACTGGCAAGCGCCTTTCAACCATTGCTTCGCAGTCAGCGCGATCCTCGCAGGTACCAGCTTCTGACACAATCACGACCATCTCCGAGGAAGCAGGCACAGGTCCCGGAGCACCTGCATCAGAAGTAGGCTCGTACTTGAACCCGGAAACTTCGACCATTATCAGTCGCCAGAGTACCCGGCGGAGGAAGCTTGCCAGACACGAGGATCTTATCTCAGTGCTTTCCATGCCCAAGGCAAGCTCGAAGAGCATCGTCTCTGCCAGAAGTATCCGTACCAACAGGAGCCGCCTTGCCACTGCCACTGTCGACGACATCATGAAAGAGCTCTCCTCTGACGAAGCCAAATACATGAGAGAGCTCCGCACACTGGTCGACGGTGTCATCCCTGTCCTTCTTAGCTGCGTTCTCTCCAAGTCCGAGTCCGCTATCGCTGCTGGCCTGTTCTCTCGCTCCTCCAAGTCCGATCCTAGTGAAGTTACTAAGCCAATCGTCGACATGGGTGTCTGCTTAGAGCGACTTAAGAACCTGCACAAGCGCGTCCCTAGGGAGGACTCCGATGCACTTGTTTCCTGGGCTCAGAGTGCACAACGAGTGTACTCTGACTACATCGCTGCGTGGCGCCTCGGCTTCCAAGACGTCGTAATCAGTCTTGCGCCGGCAGATGACGACCCGTTCAAGCCCGCAAAGGTCGTCAATGGACCAGATGACGGTGCCCCATGGGACGAAGGCATGCCGCGAAACGCTGAAGGATATGTAGTCAACAGCGATGGCGAGCGTGTCGACGTCGCCTATATGCTCAAACGCCCACTGGTTCGGCTCAAGTATCTGTCGAAGAGTTTGAAGGTATGTTGAACTGAGTTGTCCATGCTGCCACAAATACTGACATTGATCAAGGGCATTAATCATGTGAAACCTTCCGAGCGCGTCGAGCAAATCTCGAAGATTTTCCAAGACCTAGTTACGACAGCACGCAAGCGGTCGAACGACGAACAAGCCCGCCTCGAAGACGAAGCCGCGGCTAGCGTTGATCCCACTCGCGCACGCGATCCCCGAAGTCTCGCCCCTCTTGCCGGCGTCCGGGTTGATTCCACGCGCTGCGTGCGAGCTAGAGACCACTTCGACCTACATCTGTTCCATTCGAGTGGTCAAGAAATGAGTTGTCGCGTTGAGATCTTACTCCGCGACAACGCACCAGGTACCGGAGTCGGAGGCGACCTCCTCTTCTGCGAAGTCGATCCTACAGGGCGATGGTTGCTCCTCCCGCCTGTTCACCTCAGCAATGCATCAGCACGGAATGGCGACCTAAAGGGTGAAATAATTGTCATGATCCGTGGAAAACAAAACGATGGATCAGAGTGGAGCGAGATCATGTCTTTGATATCCGATGATGAGCAAGCTGGCTTTGAGTGGGTGCAGATGCTCGGTCTCAACCCCATCCCACCTCAAATCTCTGAAGTCAGGAAGAACCAGGCCACACCCACCACACACAGGCCGACAAGCAGCCATGGATCCTCGTCTCTACTTTCAGCTGCAACTGAATCGACACCCCCACAGAAGAGCAGGACACCAAGCCCACATGAAATTGACATACCTATTGGGGAGCAACATACTGAAGTATCAAAAGTATGGCACTATGACACACCCGATAGGCGCAACCAATCCCGCACCATCTCGCCTGTAACTCCGCCCAGTCACGATGACTTTGTCTTTGGCAAAATAGACGACTCAGAACCCCACACACCCACAGATCCCATGCAGACGGCATACCAACTGCTCAATGATCCTGATCGAACACCCCGTGGTCTTGATGAGGCGGTGCGAAATGAAGGCACTGGATCGCCTTCGAGTCTGAAGCGGACAAGGGCGAAGAGGCTGTCTAAGAACCCTACCCTTTCTCCACATTCAGCACGGCCGTCCCGTCAGATCACTCTCGAAGATCCGGTAGAGCCAGAGAAAATCCAGACGCCAGTACCAGAGTCCAAGCCACGCCGGAAATCCACTAAGAAGCGACCCCAAAAGAGTTACAGTGTTTGGATGCCATCTTCGCAAGTCGGTGATTCCGACGACTCTGAAGAATCGTACAGCTCCGATGAAGACAACAATACTACCACCATGGACTCCGAGATCTCACCACCCGGCTCGCCTCCCTCGCCGCAACGTCCACAGGCACACAGACGAGTCTCATCCGTCCCCTCGCTAGAATTACCGAGCATCCCAAGACAAAGGAAATCAAGCCGGCCCTCTACGCCAACACAGGATCAAGAAGATGACGATGACAATCTCCGGGAAGTCTCAGCCTCCGCGCCGTCGAAGCTGCAAGGAAAGAAACACGACATAGTTGTCGATGATATCGTAGAGCCCAAAGCAGAGGTCGAAGAGCCGCCTCCAACACCGCCGCATCGATCGCCCAGTCCAGCAACCCCTGTGACACTCAAGGGAAGTAAAACACCAGTATTCACTCCTACGTTACCCGGTTTCAAGAACAAACGCCGGTCATCGTCACCCTTGAAGCATGAATATGAGCCATCTACCTGCACGGAGGAGTCAAGCGAGAGCGAGGAGGACACTGCTTCTGAGGATGAGGTGGACGATGAAGATGAAGAAAGCCTCACCTCGGAGTCGTCAGAAGACGAGTTAGATGACGACGTTCCCATGCCACTCATGCCGATCGGATACCTTGGGCCACGCGGGTATCATGGACGCTCATACACCACCGGTAGGGAATCCAGTCGTCCCACTTCATCAGAGAAGGTTGAGAAGGTAGATGAGGAGACCAAGAAGTTTCCCAAAGTCTCACCTCCTGCATCAATCTACACACTCCCCAACGGCACCATCACCCCATCACAATCCGCGTCGAACACTCCATACAGAGCAGTTCCGCAGGGTTCCGGCAAAGCCTCCAAGACCATCGCATCCATCTTCGCTTGGTCCGATGCTGGCCGATGGGACAGTTTGCATCCAAACGAATGTAGCATCGTCGTTACGCCAGGTAAGATCGAGGTCTTCGAGATCACAATCAACCACTCGAAGCCTTTCCTGGCCGACGGCGACGAGATCATCACTCCCGAGGGAGGTGCTCCCCTTATTGCGGTTGAGCTTACCCCTCTGGTGCCGTTGCGCAAATCAACGGCCATTGATATCTCCATTCGCTCCCCACCCACCGCAGAGTCGCGCATCAAAGCTGGCAACAACATTATGTTGAGAAGTCGCAATGCAGCGGAGTGCGCCCAACTATACGCCATGATCAACCAGTCTCGTATCAACAACCCCACCTACATCGCGCTCCAGAACGCGCGCGGCCCCTACGGACAATCGAGCTGGGCCGAGGCGATGGACCGTCAGAACGCGGCTAGGACAAGCGCTGAGTCTTCTGGCTGGCTCGGAGGTACGCTAGGTAGGAGAAGTAGCTACCGCAAGTCAAGCACACGCGCTGCCTCCATCTCCGCAGCGACTGAGTCTTCTGTTGGAACTATGAACTCAGCTCTCCGCTCTGCACTAGGCCGATTTTCGTTCGGAAAGAGCGGCGTCTTCAGCATCCGCAACTCAACACTTGGATCTCGCAGCACTGGTTCTTCATTCGACAGCGGTTCCAACTCCCCACGCGGCTCAGGCGCATCTACGCCTACCGGCGATATTGTACGCGCGCCCGGTGCACCAGCTGGAATTACGAACACCAAGTGCAGGCTTTATGAGCGAGAGTCACTCAAGAAATGGCGCGACATGGGCAGCGCACGATTAACAATAATGCTGCCCTCACCCAACCCAAGCGTGCCATCCTCGCCTACGAACCCACGGCAGCGCGCACCTGGTACCAGAGACCATACCCAGGAGCGACGCATTCTTCTTACAGGCAAGAAACACGGTGAAATACTACTTGACGTCACTCTGTCCGAGACGTGCTTCGAGCGCGTCGCACGCAGTGGTATTGCTGTCAGCGTATGGGAAGACCACTTAAATGAAGACGGTCAGGTCGGCGGCGTCGGCAAGACGGGTGGTGTCTTGGGCGCAAGAGCAAGAGTCTTCATGGTGCAAATGAAGAGTGAGAGGGAGTGTGCTTACTGCTTCAGTTTACTGGGTAAGCTGAGGTACTAGGCCACGAGTAAGGAAAGAGAAGAGAGGGACATGGACCGAAACGGCAAGCGCAGCACAGCAACTCACAAAACGCCGCTGCCACGCACTTCACGCGGTATTCACCATCCATTTTGCGCTTTTTTATTGCGAGCAAGCGTGGCGTTCGTTCATGGGATTTACACGGGCGGTATTTCAAGAAGGCTTCTGCGATACCACTTCCACTTTCCCCACATACAATTTTTCACTTTGTAATCACGCTCTTGTGTTTCTTACTTTCCTTGTCAATACTGGTCTTCATGCATATGGATGGAGTGTGTGTCTTTCTTTGTTTTCCATGGGGAATATACACGTGTCTTTTGCGCTTGATACCAGGTGTGTATTTGTTTGATGGTTCTTGGTCTTTTCGGTAGTGGGATGAGGAGGGGTGTGTGTGTGATGAACGAAGCTGTGATAGTGGGGGTGAAGTGAATAGAACTAATGGAAGATGTGTCGACAATTTATAATTTCCGTGCTGAGCTGACGGATACGTGTCATTACGATGACTCCACTGTGATGGCATACATCTTCTTGGCGAATACATGTCGCTTCGAGGGTTATAACTATTACGACAAACATCCAACTGCCGCTTACATGACCTTCAGTACTTCGGCCTCGCCCACCGCGCCGTCTTCGTATCCACGATGCCCTCGTATGTACACTCCTTTGTGTCACCATACAGCTCCATGTCGACGCCCAGCTCCTTCGCCCACACAAGCTCCGACTGCTTTGAGTCATCCCTGTTGACTTTCAGGTGCACAGCTACAGGCTCCGACTTCCCTCCAGCGTGCTCGACGAAGTCCCATACCGTGATAGAGAGGTACTTGAGTCCTCTGCACTCACTTGAGACGATAGCGAGGACTTCGTACGCAACACGCTGGAGTGCCGTGCTGATGGCCTTGGTGCCCATCCTAGGCTCTGTTCCCAGGTTTGCGACAAACAAATGTAGGTATTCGAGTCCATAGATAGTGGAGAGAATTGTTGCTTGTTCGCCAACATCTCTCCACATATCGTCACTCAAGTGACCTACTTCAATCGCATCCCAGAGCACTGGGCAAGGAATGCCGACGTGTCTTAGATCTGGGAAGTACTGACCCAGAAGTTGTAGTTCCTGGTCAGGAACTTCTGACCTCTCTCCAATGCGCAGGGAAAGTGTCTTCAAAATCGGAGGCAACTTGCGCAGTAGGTGCCCGATGCCATACACCTCGCTTTGTCTTGCCTTCTTTCGCTCTTTTCGCGATACAGGCTTTGTTTGGCCATTGGCATCAGGAGCGCTGAGCGCAGTTTTGACTTGCTCGTCCGAGATGTCTCTTCGCGCGTGGAAGCAGAAGTGCTCCAATTTGCTGCAATGTCTTGTCACATTGCGAAAGACTCCATCCCGTACTTCTGGGTTCAGCTTTGGGTAATCCCATAGGTAGATGAACGTGTGTAGATCAGAGTTTCTGAAGGCATCGACGCTTGTGAATTGGCTTAATCCTGGGCAGTTGTACAGGCGTAAGAGACCGATCTTGTTGACTAGATAGGCATGTTGTGGAATGTAACCCGTCTTGAGAAGGAGATTGACTTCGGCCACTCGAAGTTCTTCCAGTATGATACCGTTGGGCATTTGTTCGAAAAGTCGAACCAGCACATTGTCCATCAAAGTGTTGTCTTTATAGTTGTCGTTGACGATCGATACTGAATGGACGCGGTATTGCCGCTTACTGTCGATCATCCCACGAACGATATCCGCCGGCGCATATGGGGCGCATATCAAGTCGAGCGGTCGGTCTTTGAGATCATCGAAACGCGTGCTGGGTGCAATTCGAATGAGTCGGATGCACATGCCAAAGTGACCGGTAAGCTCTCGGATCTGCGGAGGTGCATTGCCAGATAGATACTTTCCTGGGGGCGCCCGTACATGTGGTCCGATTAGTGTGTGACGCGTGACCGATGCGTTGTGAGATCTGATCCAGTTGCGCTGGTCCTTGTTCCGTGGATCTATGAATGTCCAGAGGCGCCGCATGAAGCCGTGCGTGCCTTGGATTCGAGTCAGGTCTCCAAAGTCGTGACTTGGTATCATGAGAAGTTCGGCCTTTGGTAGATGCTGATAAGTTAACAGCATCTGGTTTAAGACCGATTCGACCACCATGCTGTTGGGCCTAAACATTATCGCCCTGACCGGGGTGTGCTTGAAGTTCGGGAGCACGGTAGCCATGAACAATTCATATCGTGGAGGTATGTCGAAGGTGATGGCGCGGAAGTTATGTGGATGCGTGAGTAGCGAGGAGGTGTTGTTCAGGCACTGCGCGCTCTTTTTCGACATACACAGCTCAGCATATCTGACGAAAATGCGCTGTAGTTTCCGAGTCGCACCTTTGTATCCGGATCGAGTCGATAGCAGTAGGAGGTTATAAAAGTCGTGCTGAGAGAGCTGTAAAGTGTTAGATTGATCTTATACGTGACTTGTCCCGACCTTACATATTGGCAGACCAACTCCATCAACTCTTCGGGTAGAGCCCAGAACACTTTCTTGAGAGATCGTAGTCGGGTTATATCGAGAGTCGGGCGCAAGCGTTTGGGGGGAGGAGGCTCGTCTGGGCCGCGATCATGTGGAATCTTCCGTTTATCGAGTCGCTGAGCATTGCCATGCTCGCTAGAGTCTGCGACAGTAGGGCGCTCATTCAGGTGTATAGGAGATTCAGAAATCATGCTCGCTGGAACGTAGATAGCTCCGCTTCTGAGGGGCGTCGCGTGCTGATAATTAGTATCGCGGGGTGGAGTGTTTGAAATGGAGTACGCGCGGGTGACTGCGACGGGCTATGAATTGCCGCATTGCCCGTTGCGGCTCGCTCTAGACCCAGATAGGAAAGCGACATTTTGCAGTGAATGAGCGTGTACTGGTGAAAGTGAAGGGGCGAAAGTCACTCCTCCACCGCACCTCCACCCAGCCACTGGCCGTGGAATGAGCGGGCTCTCGACGTGATCATCTACTTATAGCTTGGACTTTGAGAACCGCAGAAGCAGATGAAGTGGTTTGAAAGATGCGTACTATGGACTAAAGTCACGAACAAGACATTGACGAGAATTGCTCTGTGAAGCTAGGTCATCATGGAGGCCTGCCTCAGATTATAAGATATATAGGTCAAAGTCGAAGCAGTAAGTAACGGGAAAAGCTTTGGTAGTGGTGGTCCCAAACACGAAAGGATAGAATGAAAATCACGCTCTTGTCGGATAAGGACATCTGGATTGCTATCGTCTAGTTTGACTCCAAGGTTGCACCCAAAAAAAAACCTCGTATCCCTTCTTCAGCCCAGCAGCAAGCCGCAAAAGCAAACGAAAAGATGATGTAGCAGAATTGCAACGAGACCAATGAATTTTGTCGAGGAACGGGGGACACGCTCGGTCATACACTTCATCGCGTATCCGCCCGTTCCTATCACATGAGGCGCCGACTGGAGGTCGACTTATCAGTACTGCCGTACGGCTTTATCCGTACTGATAATTTCGTCAGTACTCCCAGCAAAGTACTGATATAGGCTCCTCAGAACCAGCGGCAAGAGGTCGACTGGCCGGTGAGCAGCATGCCAAGCACGGCTTTCGGCGCAGGGACTGGACAAGCGGGACACCAATCTCTAGGTTGGTGAAAGGCGTTGTCTCGGATGCCATGAGGATCAGCCCGAAGGCCATACAAGGTTGAAGGTAGGTAGCCGCCGAATCAGCGAAAGATGTAGAAGAGGTCCGCACGAACGCGAAACCGAAAAGAAAACCTTGTGAAAAATGCCGCATGAGGAAGGAAGGATGAGGTGGCTCCCCTCCTTGTTCCAAGATACAGAACAGAACAGCTTGGGGAACCCTACGGCAGGTCGCAATACCTGAGTACGGGAAGTCTCCATACCACAGGCATTGCTACTGTACAGTCGAGATGCTGAAGCAGAAGTGTTGCGCATGTTGAAAAAAGGAGAGTAGGTGTAGTTCAATTTGATATGATGCGTGCGAGCGCGGAGCAATAAAGGGCTTCGTGTGCATTCCGCGAAAGGTGCGGGTTGAGAATCGGAGTCAGTAGATGGTGGAGAGTAAGGGAAGAAGAGAGGGAGGGCAGACTACTTAAGACTACGGGCAGGAGCGGGCGGGCTAGAGAGCGCACGGGCCACGTGTTTGCTCGAACTCGCCACGCTGCCTAGTCGTGAATTCACCGAGACAATTATACGGTCATCTTCACCTACTATGCACAGCCTTCGTCTGTCGCTAAGCTCGGGCGCAAGCGATGTGACGCATCCTTCATTGTACTGAGATGTGTGCTGGAAGAGACCGATGTTCTTTCACTTCAAGTTGCGTCACAGGTTGTAGTAAGATCATGATGTGATCGCGGCGTGATATGAATCATTCCTATTCTCTCATCATCTACTCCAGGTCTTTGTCCTTGCAGCCTTCCGGTGCGATAAGAGGATTGCATCTCGCAGCCAATCCTCCGGGAAGCCTGGCGACATAATCCCAACCCCATCGACTACTCATGCCCCAAGCTGGGAAATCGGTACTAACAATCTGCGCACCACTCTCAAAAGCTAAGTCCCTCATCTCTGTAGTGCGGTTCAAGATGGTATCGATGGGTATATCAGCACGTGTTCGGATCAAGTAGCCCTTCTTGACAAGACGCTGGATATCTGCTGTGCCATTCCCGCGCGGCTCATTGTATTTGATGAATGCAGCATCAGAGGATCCTTCGAGCGCATTGGTGAAGACAGTGCGGTTTTGTAGCGAGGGGGCGCCGGTTTTGTAGAGCTCGCGAGGTGAGTTGGGGTCACTGGGTTTTGGGTCGTTATCGAAGAAAAACAGGAGGCGGCCGCGAACATCCTTTAGCTTCGGCCAGCCTTGTTGCAGGATGGACTGCTCGAGGGTAAGACCACTCTTGCGCACGTCATCGGGGCGAATGAGTTGCTTCTTAGGGAATACGGAGAGGATCTCCGCGTCGACATTCAAGAGGCGAGGGAGCGTCCAGTTTGTCGCTTCGCCAGGGCAGACACCGCCTAACGAACATGCCGGCGCATCGGTCTTGAGCTCGAGATCAATGGTGATAGGGACATGTCTTGGGTTTGCGTCTGACCAACTCTTTAATTGCTTGAGACAGTCGATGAACGTGTGGCAGACAGAATCTGGGTCGAAGTCTGTGACGTGGAACACCTTAATACCTGGCTCCTTCAGAATGTCACCATTGTAAGGAGTGGTGGCGTTTGTCAAGTTTGATAGCGTCCATATGACAGGGGGATAGTACAGGCCGCCCTTTTCATCCGAATGTAAGTCGAGCTCGAAAGAGCGCACGGACTGGTACTCCAATTGATTGTCGAGCTCTGCGTGCGAGTAGTAGTAGTCCTCTGGGGACGGTACGTATTTCTCAAAGACTGGTCGCTCGGCGAGTGAGACTTCACGATGGTAGGAGTTGTGCGTTCCGACGACTTGAATATGGTTGAAACGGATGTCAGACTTGGATGCTAGTGCGCTTTCTATGTGTTGTCAGCTTGGACATCCCCGCGCAAGAAGACAACATACGAGCGAAGAGCATTACGCTCGCAGAAGCCTGATACCATTAGCATCCGTTCGTTCTCGCATACCAGGAGTCATCCTTACCAATGATCCCAACATGTTGCTCTTTCCTTCTGAATTGAAGTCTGCGTTCAAGGTGAAGACGCACAAAGCAAACAAAAAGACCGCGAGCAACAAGGCCCGACCTTTATACGCCATCGCACCCATGCTGTTCGTGCGCAACGGCATGCACTAAAGCTCAGATGTTGAAGTCGTTCCCGCCATGCATCGCGTTGGCGTTAGCTCGTCGCGTGCGCTCATCGGGTCTCGCGATTGGTTAATCGCATCACGTGGGTTCAGTGTACCGGCTCGGAGAGTTCTCAATGTAGCAGGTACAGATTCTGTACGATCGTTATTTTGCACGTGCGTCACTTCGCGTTCGTGCGCGCTTCTGATGGAAACAAGACGCGTAGCAGTAGTTCGTTGGAGGAAGCGATGACGCGGTGACAGGAGCTGCCAGGGCAAAAGCGGGGCAGGTCGCCTGTAACGGAAGGATCACCTTAACCATCAACAACATTGAAGGCCCCCGGAAGATCTCATAGCGTTCTAAAGTGCGCGAAACCCATTTTCCTGGGAAATCATCAATGTAGTATTTGTGCTGTGAATTACCACCGCACGGGAGGCTACCAGTCACTACCAACCATACTTCTGTCCGTATCTGCCGACAAACCCTCCTACATCAGCATCTCTCTCGCCTTGCACAATCTGCAACAACCCTAGCGCACTCGTCTCTGAACTCTCAAGGCCTTGTTCCTTTCTTTGCTCCCTGTCGTCGCCTAGGTCCGTCACCACATAGCCTGGGCAGTACGTCCAGACCTTGAAGCCATCCGGCTTGAGCTGGACGTACTGGTATGCCGTCAACATGTTGAGCGCAGCTTTAGTCATGCGATATCCGGGGTATTTAACCTGGGCGTAGGGAGAGCTGTGATCGGAGATCAAAGTGATGCTACCCATAGTAGAGGACACGTTGATGATGCGCGGATTAGATGAGCGCTTCATTGCGGGAATGAGAGCTTCTGTGAGGATGGTAGGGCCAAAGACGTTGGTTTCGAACGTGGTGCGCATCAGCTCCCGGTCCGGCCATGTGCCGTCTCTTTCGGGACATACACCAGCGTTGTTGATAAGCACATCAAGCTTGCTGAAGTCCTCCTCGATCTTCTTGGCCGCAGCTTTGATAGAAGCGTCGTCATTGGCGTCGAGTTGCACCAAGGAGAGTGTGCCTTGGATGCCTGCCTTGGCTTGCACATCTTTCAAGATTGTTTCGCCTTTCGACATGTTGCGCGCGCCGATTATGACATGGTACTTTGGAGATGCAGAGGCAATATAAATGACGGTGTCCAGACCGATACCGTTGGTTGCTCCTACAGAGGCTATCAGTATGACGAGCTTGGTAAACGTCCGGAGGGCTGGTACCTGTTACGAGCACAACCTCCTTGTCTGGGTTCGAGGACATATTTATTTTGAATCGATTAATTTGTGGTAACGGATGACATGCAGATTTTCGACTGAAGTAGAGGAGATGGATTTTGTGATACTCAAGCTGGGGTGGAAGGCGGGCGAATTTATATCTTGCCAGCGATTCAGCACAACATGAACGGGTCTTACGGATGTCCACCAGGCGTAATCCACGACGAATAGAGTACGGTCTGGAACTTGCTATAGACCAAATAGGCAATTGTAACATCAGAAACCCCGTAGATCGAGAAGGAGCTGCGGCCTGATCCGGAGTTAGTTGTCTAACTCCGA